CTGACCTGCCTGCCAATGGGAAGTTATGCATAGTTGAATCAGAAGTTGGCCCAGATGCTTTGAATTCACAAATTCAGGAGCCAAGACTATGTCATGTCCTTGTTCCGTCTTGGGTAAACATGAAAGCCTGGCCCTGAATTTTAATGGAATTTCTTTCCTTTGTGGTCAGAAATAAACCTCCTTCCAGGCTTTTGTTCTTGGCACTCGAGAGAATCTGTCATATTGTACCTGAGCCTCTAAAGGCTTTTTTTTTTACAGTATGAAAAATGCTTTTTAAAATGTCATTTCATTTCATTTGAAAGAGAGAGAACACACAATTTAAAGGGTCACTTAAACCAAATTACAAAATAAATAAATAAATAATCCTTTTTTCCTGATAACAGATACACCAATCTGAATGTCACAGTAGGCTTGAGGAAAACACAATGATATTTTTCACCACTTCCTACAAAACAATTTCTCAAATGTTGCTGTCAGAAAATGAAAATAATCATAGAAAGTAGTTCCAATGAGAACTAATCACAGTCCACTGTTCTGTGGATGATCCAGAGAAACCAGGTTATTATTTCTGTAAAGACTCATTGCTACAGCAATCTGTTACCAGGAAAAAGGATTATTTATTTATTTATTTTGTAATGTGAATGTGTGTGTGAATGGGTGAATGGTGCATGATCTCCTGTAAAGCGCTTTGGCCAGTGCAACACACTGTGAAAAAATGCGCTATATACAGATGGATATTTCAAAAAATAAAATAATATGTAAAATAAGAAAACTGCTCATTTGTAATTCGGGTGAACAAATTCTTTAAAACTTGCAAGCTCAAGTAGACACTCGTCTAAATTTAGGGGTCTGGAAATGTGTCATGCACCCTGATTAAAAATAAAAAAACTCTCACTTTTTTCTGATTCAATGTGACAAGAAGTCTGATTATTTTGACTCCTCGCTGACTTTACCACTGAGTCACTGTTTGCTATTGGGATCATCCTCCTCGGTGCCAAAACTCTCTCTGCCATCACCTGGCTCATTATATTAATTAAAAACACAACACATTGGCACACACATTGATGCACAACTTCATGTGTCTACTCCTACAGGGGACACAGTGAGTCAGTGACATTACTCAACCAAAGCATCTGATTGCCATCTGGAGTCTAGGCGACCCAGACAACAACCCCCCACACGGCCACATCAGTGTCTATATGATCCACATCATTAGTGGTTGCACACACACAGCACAATATGGTGTCACTTTCTGACCCCTGCAAAGCTCAGATGAAGTGGGCTCCCCCTGACAAATGAGAGCATAGGCCCTTTCTGTACCAGTAACAACCCTCCTCTCGACTCCCATCCCCTACGCACACATGCACAGGCCCCTGAGCTTACGCATGTTCAAAGCCAAGATAAAAGCTAACGTTTATATCCAGCCACCTGCACGTAACCAGCAGCCGCAACCCCTCCTCCTCCGCCTCTCTTCGCTGACACACAGCCGTCATCCATCTTGCAGGGCCTCCTGGGTCTCTAATTAGGCTCCGGGTGGGTGATACCCTCTGGAACGTTTATTGTAACATCACTCAGCTTTATTTCCTCTAAAACAGACACAAATGAGAAAGAGAAGAAATAGAAAACAGTAACAGAAGCAGGATGAAAAGCAGATGAAACAGGATTTAGTACACGCTAAAATGCATCAGGAAGACAACACAGAAAATAGGAATCTGTCCATCATCTTCATCAGGTATGATGACTTTCTACCCAGCAAGTCACTGCAGAGGTCTGGGAACATGGTGATGATGCCACAACAAATTTAACAGGGATAGAAACACAAGCAGTAAGATGATCACACAAATATTTGATCCAGATGATCTGAACTGCTTTATTTATTTGGTAAAACTGAATATGAACACATCTTTCTTTAGTAATCCCTCATTACACAGTGTGGAGACCTATGGTAAAAATGTTCATAGGTCAAAGTTCAACCAGGAAGGTTGTTTATTAACTGTGCCGGGTGTTTACAGCACACAGGTTGGGCCGTACATTTATCCTACATTGTTTTTTTTTACCAGTGTCACTGAGATAAGGTAGGTAATTTGGTGAGTACAGTCTCATATCACAAATAGAGATGATGGGCAGTGAAAAGAAGACCCACATAGATGAACCCAATCAACGAAATACAGAAACATCTTTTAACCACAGTGAAGAGCCTGCCATTCATGTTTGTTGCACCTTGTTCATCAGCCTCAAAGGGCAAAATACTAAAGACCCAGAGCTTTCAAAAGCAAACCAAAAGCCAAGCCTAAAGCAGCTTGGTCCTTGGAAACTGATGTCTGGTCCCTGCATAAGTGATTATTCCATTTTTAGAAAATCCTATAGAAGTGACTGATTTATTGGGAGATGCAGTAACGTTTATGTGAAATAAGGTGGCAGAAGTAGCAGTAGTGTTAAGACAGACAAACATTTTAAAAATGTCAAAGCTGATGTATTAGTTCTGACTTAACCAACTGAATGTCATTGTCGGTGCCTTTAAGCCAATAAGTCCAACATTCACTCTTTCTTTAGTTTCCAATACTAATATGTGGTTCTTCAGCTACCAAATGCACCACTACGTTCATCAGATAGCCACCCGCTCTGTCTCAAATCTTTCCAAGGGGCTGAACCAAAACACTAAAGTTGAGGGCAGTAAAACCAGAGCAGTATAAGCTGAAAGATGATAAAATCTTCCATAGAGCTGAGGGGTACTACAACATTACTAC